AATTGCTTGAGCCCAGGAGTTCAAGACTGCAGTGAGCCAAGATTGTGCCACTGCACTCCAGCCTGGGTGACAGAGTGAGACCCTGTCTCAAAAAAAAAAAAAAAAGAAAAAAAGCTGTGGCAGGGCCTGGGTTTGAACCTGGCTGCACCAGTCACTAGCTGTGTGACTGGGCCACTTCTCCATGCCTCAGTAAAATAGGCATCAACAGGCTGGCGCAATGGCTCATGTGTGTATTCCTAGCACTTTGGGAAGCCAAGGTGGGTGGATCACCTGAGGTCAGGGGTTCGAGACCAGCCTGGACAACATCGTGAAACCCCGTCTCTACTGAAAATACAAAAATTAGCTGGGCATGGTGGTGGATGCCTGTAGTCCCAGCTACTTGAGAAGCTGAGGCAGGAGAATTGCTTGAACCTGGGGGGCGGAGGCTGCAGTGAGCCAAGATCGTATCACTTCACTCTAGCCTGGGCAAAAGAATGAAACTCCATCTCAAAAAAAAAAAAAGGCATAAACATAAACAAAGTATCCTCCCATAAAGTCCTTACCAGGATCAACTGAGGTAATCAGTGAAGTGCTTAGTACTGTGCCTGGCACACCATGTCAGTGTTTGTTAAATAACTATGCTGACATGGCAAAAGTCATCAGGTTGTGTCATGCAACGACAACTATTCCTTTCCCATTACTTGGAGAAACAACAGTGATAATGGAATGGCTTGAAAATAATTTCCTATGTCATCCCTGGACAGTCTGTAGCTCTTGCTCAGTGTGGCAGTTCCAGGAGTGTCAATGTTGCTAAAGCCGGTAGAGTGGGGGTGGAGGGACAGGCAGGAAGTTGACCTGTGTGGTTGGAGGGTCCCGAAGGCAGGGGGCTGACCTGTGTGGGTGCGAGCGTGCCGCTGGAGCTCGTCACTCCGTGTGAACCTCTTCCCACAGAAGAACCAGTTGCAGACAAAGGGCCGCTCGCCAGTGTGCAGGCGCACGTGGGCACGCAGCAAGGACGTCTTACGGAACGTCTTGCCACAGTCGGGGATGTGGCACACGTGCTTCTTCTTGCCCTGCTCTCCAGACCTGAGAATTGGGGTGAGGGTAGAGTGGACGGAATAGGAAGAGGAGAGAAAAAAGGTAGAGGATGGGGCAGGAACAGGATGCAGTGAGGATGTAGGGTCAGGTCAGAGAGCACAAGGAGGCAAGGGGCAAAGTGGCACAGAGCTGCCAGCTCCTCCCTGCCTGATCTGTGCCAGCTGCAGCTCTGGACAACTGTTCAGGAGGAGCTTGGGGAACACAGGCCAGCCTTGTGGCTTGGCCCCTCTCCTTGAATTACCTCTTCTCCCCATCCTTGCAGTTGGGACATGTGCAGGCCATGCGGCGCCGCTTCTCCCCAGGCTGGGTCTCTCCGGCCAGGGCTTGTTCCATTTGCAGCTGGATCTGGGTGGGGCTCAGCCCACTGATGGTCAGGTTGTTCCCAGAAACATTCTGCACTGTCAGCTGCTGCTGCCCTGTGGGGACAAAGAGGGCAGAGTTCAGGGCGAGGAAGCCTGAAACCTCGAGTCAACCCTTCTGCCCTTCTGCGCATGACAAAGATGACAATCATAGCAGCTATTTTTGAGAGCCTGCTATACGGTGGATACCGTTTTAGGGACCTTGTATGTATTCACTCATTTAATCTTCATGACCCTATAGAATAGGTACTATCAGCACTTTACAGATGAAGAAACTGAGGCTCAATAACATAGCAAGATCACACAGCTAGTAAGTGGTAGAACACAGATCTGAACCCAGGAAGCCCATTTCAAAGTCAGTGCCCTGAACCACTGTGCTATGTAGGCAGAATCTGCTTCAAAATATTGCCCACATGATTTCAGTTGGGAAGGGACTTGTCTTAAGACATTTCTTCCTGAATCTCCTCCAACCTTAGGCCCTTGTGAGATACCAACTCTGCTTTTAGGAAAGTCTCCAGGAATTTCTGTTAAAAAGACAGAGGTCACAGGCTAGGTACAGTGGCTCATACCTGTAATCTCAGCACTCTGGCAGGCAGGACAATTGCTTGGGCCCAGGAGTTCAAGACCAGCCTGGGCAACATAGGGAGACCCCCACCTGTACAAAAAACTAAAAAATTGGCTGGGCATGGTGCTACATGCCTGTATTCCCAGCTACTCAGGAAGCAGAAGTAGGAGGACTGCTTGAGCCCAGGAGGCTGAGGCTGCACTGAGCCATGATCTTGCCACTGCACTTCAGCAAGGATGATACAGCGAGGCCTTGAGGCCATGTCTTTAAAAAAAAAACCACACACACACACACATACACACACACACACAAAAGAGGACACAGTTCTATGGGCTTTGGGAAAAATCAGATGCTCTAGGATGCCCTATCCTCTTGGGGGTCACCTCAAGAGGGAAAAGCAAATGTGTTAAAGTGCTAAAAATTCATTAAGGATGGGCTGGGTATGGTGGCTCACGCCTGTAATCCCAGCACTTGGGGTGGCTGAGGTGGATGGATCACAAGGTCAAGAGTTCAAGACCAGCCTGGCCAAGACGGTGAAACCCCGCCTCTACTAAGAATACAAAAATTAGTGGGGCATGGTGGTGGGCGCCTATAATCCCAGCTACTCGGGAGGCTGAGGCACAGATCGCGCCACTGCACTCCAGCCTGGGCAACGGAGCGAGACTCCGTCTCAAAAAAAAAAAAAAAAAAAAATCATTAAGGATGAAGAGAAATTCAGAGAGCTCCCCCTACATAAGGAGCCATTTTTGCTAGGTTGCTCCAATTTTTCCTCTGGTTATTTGCAAGGCTGGTTTCACAGCATAAATCTCACCACTGAACTGAAGTGCAGCACAAACTGTTCCGACTGCCAGGGCCTCCCTTTTCTTCCAACCTTAACTCAAAGCTTTCTCCTCCAAGAAGCCGTTTTTGCGTTTGGATGTTAGTTGGAAAGTTTTCCGAGTACATCTGTCTTCTCTGTTTTCAGCTGTCAGATGGGGACATGTGCCTTAAACTATCTCTGAGTGCTATCGTAAGGACTAGGTGAGAAGCTGCAGGTGGGCGTACCCTTAAGCTATGATGGACAGCATCCTCACTATTGTTACTGGAAATCCCGGGGCCAGCCCATAGTTTCCACCTGCTAGGAGCAGGTACCACTGCCAACACCCTGGCCACAGGGGCCATCCTCACCGCCTGTGTTGGTGATAGTGACAGGCACGCCCTGGACCTGGACACCATTGATGTTGATGGTCTGCATTGCCTGGGCAGCTGCCGCCAACTGGGCTGCATTCAGGCTGATGATGCTCCCGGCGGGGGCAATCTTTGGCAGGGGACGCTCTTTTCGGAGAATTGCAGCTGAGTGCTTTTTGCTGGTCCCACTCAGATGGGGAGCACGGGATGCAGGGCTGCTACAGGTGGTGTTAGAGGTGGCTGCAGCTGTTGCTGGGGGGCTGTCCTGGACAAGGACTGTCTGCACCTCACCGGAAGGCGTGCGGATGTAGACCTGGGAGGGGCCAGAGGAAAAAAAGTCAGTGACCGGAAAAGACTGGGTTCCTGGGGCTTTCAAATGTCCCTGCCCAAGTGAGAACTGGGGGTGCCTGACAGCTAAAAGTCTCTTCAATTCACCCAAACCTACATTTATACACAGCTAATGCTCAACAAAGGGCTGCTGGCATCCTATACTATGCTGGCGAATGTTGACTATTGATTTGAAATCAAACGTTGAATTTACTTAGCATGGAAAAAGATAATTGCCAAGAATCAGAATTGGAGATTTAGAAGGCAGTGCACTGTGAATGACCATCAACCAAATGACACAGGTTCACTTTAGTTTTTAAGAGCCACATATTACAGCCCACGAATTCCAGGTTATAGTGAGCTATGATCCCTCTACTGCACTTGGGTGACAGAGCAAGATGCTGTCTCAAAAAAAAAAAGTTTCTGGTCTTTGTAATCAGAAGAAGAAGAAGAAAAAAGAGCTACATATTAATGAAAAACAACTTTTCTCCAATTCAGATTGGAGAAAAATAAAATATGCTCATTGTTGGTGAGAGAGCAGAAAACAGGCACTTACTCGTATATTAGGCGTGGAAGTATGATGTGGGCTAACCTTGCTGCAAGGAAATTTGGGAATATGTATCAAAAACCTTAAAAATATGCATGTTAGAGGCTGAGTGGGACAAGGAGGGCATTTGTAGCGGGGAGGAGGGTGTCCGTGGTGGGTAGGGAATGGCGGTGGCAGGCTAAGGAGGGTGTCCCTATGGGAAAGCTAATGACTGTGGGAGACTGGCTGCATACCCAGGACCTATCCAGAAAGGAAGTATGTTAAGGATAATAGGAGTGAGGGCTCTCACTGTCACAGAAGGGAGTTATGGAAAGGGAGAAGGCTAGACGGAAGGCTGTGGTGCTAGATGGGAATTAGAGACATTGGTGGAAACTCATGGGTTTCAATATATACAGACAAAGAAATACAGATTCAAATGTGTGTATATGTGTATGTGTATATATTTGTGTGTGTCCTTATATAAGTATATCTACATCTATCCATGTAGGCATTGCTTCGTTACGTCTGTTTATATATACTTCCTAGCTGTGTCCGTTGAGAAGGGCTAGGACCAGCCATGCCCAGTAGCAATGAGCTTACCTAGCACCCAGGCCTTAGCTTGTAACTCACATGCTCCACTTAAAGGAACCCAGGCTCCTTGGAGAAATAGCTGATTCCAGGGTTGGGGCAGGAAAGGTACAAGAAAAGCTTGGAACACTTGTACTAGAAAGTAAAGGAATGCTTACAGAATGGTGGGGACTTGAAAAGATACAAGCCAGCTTAAAGGGGAACCCACTGGCCAAATCTAGGTCAATGAAAACATCGAAATAATCTTTACGGATTATAACCCAGTGAATAAAACAGGAATCTGGCCAGGTGCGGTAGCTCATGCCTATATTCCCAGCACTGTGGGAGGCAGAGGCAGGCAGATCACTTGAGGTCAGTGGTTTGATACCAGCCTGGTCAACTTGGTGAAACCCTGTCTCTACTGAAAATGCAAAAAAAAAAAAATTAGGTGGGAGTGATGGCGCACGCCTGTAATTCCAGCTACTGGGGAGGCTGAGGCAAGAGAAGTGCTTGAACCCGGGAGGTGGAGGTTGCAGTGAGTTGAGATTGTGCCACTGCACTCCAGCCTGGGTGACAGAGTGAGACTCCATCTCAAAACACAAAAAAAGCAGCAATCTGTGAGTCCATAATGACGTAAATAAATAAATGAGGAGGAAGAGGATGACAGAATTAAAAGAGGCTATCGCATCCTTCAATGAGAGAAACCAGGAATCTGAGAAGAAATGGTTGACCCTAAGGCTGAGGTTGGGAAAATGTAAGGAATGAAGTTCAGAGACATGCTACAACAGGATGAACCTTGAAACATTATGCTAAGTGAAAGAAGCCAGTCACCAGACACGTGCTACAACATGGATGAACCTTGAAAACATTACAAATAGACTAGTAGTTGCCAGGGGCTGCAGGGAGGAGGAAATAAATGGGGAGTGATGGCTAAAGGGAGTTTCTTTTTGGGGTGATGAAAATGTTCTAAAATTATATAGAGGTAATGGCTGCACAACTCTGTGAATATACTAAAAATCACTGAATTGTATACTTTAAAAGGGTGAGTTTCATAGTATGTGAATGTCTCAATAAAGCTGATTTTATTTAAAAAAAAAAAAAAAGAATGAGAGCCTGTTAAAGGGATATAAGAGCCAACCTGAAGGCCGGGTGTGGTGGCTCGCGCCTGTAATCCCAGCACTTTGGGAGGCCAAGGCGGATGGATCACGAGGTCAGGAGTTCAAGACCAGCCTGGCTAAGATGGTAAAATCCCGTCTCTATTAAAAAAATACAAAAATTGGCCGGGTGTGGTGGCTCACGTCTGTAATCCCAGCACTTTGTGAGGCTGAGGTGGGCGGATCACGAAGTCACCATCCTGGCTAACATGGTGAAACCGTGTCTCTACTAAAAATACAAAAAATCATCTGGGCGTGGTGGCACTCGCCTGTAGTCTCAGCTACTCGAGAGGCTGAAGCAGGAGAATTGCTTGAACCCAGGAGGCAGAAGTTTCAGTGAGCTGAGATGGTGCCACTGCACTCCAGCCTGGATGACAGAGTAAGACTTAAAAAAATAAAATGAAATAAAATAAAAAGAATGAGGAAGTGTTTCAGATCAAAAGAGGCTAAGGAGACAACTAAACGTAATGTGTAATACTGGATCAGATCCTTTTGCCACAAAGGAATTAGTGGGGCAAGTGGTGAAAACAGAGTGGGGTCTTGGAATTAGTAGTGTGTTTCATTGCTAATTTTCTGGGTTTGACAATTGTATTGTGGTAATGTAGAATGTCCTTGTGTGTAGGAATTAAAGCATTCAGAAGTGACAATCATAGTGGCATGGAGGATCATGGTGGCAATTTACACTCAAATGAGTCAAAAGGAAAAAAGTTCTTTGTAAAAAAAAAAATCCTGCTGTGATTTTGATTGGGGTTATTTTTAATTCCTGGATTATTTATGACTGTGCTTCTTCTCACTGAAACACTAATAAACATCTCATCTCTTAAATTTTTTTTTTTTTATAGAGACAGGGTCTCTGTCACCCAGGCTAAAATGCAGTGGAATGATCATAGTTCACTGCAGCCTCAAACCCATGGGTTCAAGTGATCCTCCCACCTCAGCCTCCTGAATAGCTGGGATTACAGATGTGCACCACCACGCCTCACTAATTTTTTAATTTTTTGTAGAGATGGGGTCTTGCTATCTTTCCCAGGCTGGTCTTGAATTCCTGGGTTCAAGCGATCTCTAGCCTCAGCCTCCCAAAGTGCTGGGATTACAGGCATAAACTACCTCACTTGGCCCATTTCTTAGTAAATATGCAAATCTCATTCCCAGTTTTCTGATATGTGCCCCTTTTTCAAATCACTGATATTTTTTGTCTGATTTTGTGTGTATGTGTGCGTATGCATGCATGCATGCGTGTGTGTATTTGCATCTGAAGGTTCAGCAAGCTTTTTTTATAAAGGGCCGGAGAGTAAATATTTTAGGCTTTGTGGGGCATATTGTCTCTGCTACTTAACTCTGCTACTACTGTTGTGCAAGGGCAACACAAATGGACGTGTCTGCACTCCAGTTAAACTTTTTTTACAAAAACAGGTGGCTGGGCTAGATTTGGCTTGAAAGTTGGTCACAGACTGCAAACCTCTAATATAGAATACAAATTTTTTAAAAATGTATGTGTCCTTGACCCACTTTTAGGGATTTATTTAGCTATAAGATTGGAAACAGCTTAGATATATACAGTTAACAAGGTATCAGTTGTATAATAATCCGCATGTTGGGATGATATAAAGCTGTGTAGTCATGAAAAAATAATGCTGTAGCTAAATCTTTCTGCATATGCATCATTATTTCCTTAGGGAAGACCTGGGATTAAGTCCTGTCCCATCAACCTCAAGATATGGAACCTCATGGAAGGGAGGGAGGCAATGCCAAGGATGTGCTCCTGAGCAGGTGCCACAATTCTTCACCTGTCAGGTAGGTCTGATCATGGGAATTCACAGATACTGTGATAAACGACTTATAAAAAAATCACCTGGCAACATAAAATATGCCAGAAGGGTGAATTCCTGTGTGACTTCTGTGTCCACAGTTCAAATTCAAGGGCTGTCTTCTCCACCTGGGAAATGATACAACTTCCCACTCTCAGTCATTCGGTTCTCCCTCTATAGACAACGAGGTCATAAATTCCTCAATGGCAGGAACTTTTTTTTATATTAAAAAATAAAACTCCCCAATTTTAATGGTAGCACCTGCTACACATAAGACACGAGAGTCAAGGTGGAAGATGGAAGAGTGTGGGGTCTGAAGTTACAAATCTCAGCTGACTCCTGGTTCCTGTCATTTGTGCCCTATTTGATCCTGGAAACTTCATAAATGATCTGAGTTCTGGGTTCTCCATCTGCAACATGGGCACAATTACTGGCACTTAGTAGGCATGCACAAAGAATAAAACTTGCCTCATAGAGCCAAAGAGATTCCAGAGTATTAGAGCACATTAATAAATGCCAAAAATAAGAACATTCTTGTTGGATTCAGCATCCCAGTTTGGCAGGAAGCAGTGGCTCAGCCTGGCATGGTGGCATACACCTGCAGTCCTGGCTACTCAGGCTGAGGTGGGAGGATTGCTTGAGCCCAGGAGATTGAGACTGTAATGATCACATCACTGCACTCCAGCCAGGACAACCGAGTAAGACCCTATCTCAAAAAAAAACACCCTAAAACAAACAAACATTCCAGATGAATCTAGCCGAAATATTCCTGCTATAAAGCTAGGCTGCTCTTCCTGTTTTTATCTTGTCATTAATAATGATCAGCATTTTTCTCATTAATTTTCTTACTTTACATAAAATTCTATGGACTGGAATGTTTTCATTCTTGTTAATGTTTTGAGTATGTAATTCTATAATCAAAAATAAGTGTTATTAAAAAGTATGTATCTGTCCCCTTTCCATCCCCTGAAAAAAAACCCATAAAGAAAAAGGGCCAAAATATCCCTATGTTTCATCTAATTTCTAAAGATAAGCAGTACTTGGCCCTATGAACTAAAGAGAGCCCATTGGTCAGGTAGAAACGGCCACTTACTGCCCACCCCAAAAGATACTGACTCTCAAAGGTCAGATTAAGCTGGGAGATGATCAGCATCATCTTCAGAGCAAGCCAAAAAGACGTAACCAGAGGAGGAGGAGGACAGTACAGGGAGTGTGGTACCTGAGTAGGTGTCGGCTCAGCTGCCTGGATCTGAAAGTTCTGGGAGGGCTTCTGGGGGACAGTGGGGAGGGTGGCAGATGCCGCCTGCACCACCCGCAGAGCCTGCTGGGGGATCTGCACCACCTGCTGCTGCTCGGCCTTGGGGGGCACCACCTGGACCTGCTGGACCACAGCTGGCTGGCCCCCCCCAGGGCTCTGAACAATGAGCAGGTTATTTCCTGCTTGGATGATGTTGTCCGCGGTGGTCTCGATCAGCACCGTCTCCACCTGCTCAGCCACAGCCACAGGGGGCTGGGAGGCAGGAAGGCTCTTCTTCCTTGCTTTCTTGTTAGTCTTAGACAGTGGGGTTGGGGGGCTTTCAGTGAGGAGCTGAGTGGGGGCCCCGGTGTCACTGGCGTTCACGAGGTTGTTGACAGGCAGAGTGAGCGTCACATTGCCACCCCCACCTGTCAACTTCACCACATTGGCCCCGCTCTGCACGGGAGTGGTGGTCGTACTTGACTTCTGGATGGGGGCTGGCTTGATGGGGACAGGCTTGTGACTGGACGGTGAGGGGGTGATGATGGCTTGGTTGGTGCCAGGGATGATCTGGATCTGGTTGGTGAGATTGGGCTGTACTTGGATGGTTTGGGAACTGCTTGCCTGAATCTGAGGGACTGCCTGGTACTGGATATTGGCATTTGATCGGGTCCCTTTGTTGATCATGGTGGGATTCTGGATAGCAAACACCAGCTGCCCTCCAGGATAGGAGGCGCTCAGTTGTGACCCCTGAATCTGAAGTATATTTCCTTTGGAGGACAAGATTCCAAAGCTATTCTTGCCGGGGCTGAGAGGGAGAGGGGCAGGTTTGATAGGGACAAGTTTCCGCGGTGTGGGCTGTGGGGGAGCAGGAGGTGTCACAGCAGCTTCAACTGCTGGAGGGCCAATTTTGCTACATGTTGCAGCAAGCAGGGCTAAGGGAGATGGCTGGGAGTCCTGCAAAAAAAACAGCAGAGAAAAGGAATGAGACAGGAAGGCCCGCTGCCCAGCCGCCTCTGTCCATGATCCTCTCTTCTTGGCGGTATTCCACGCCACTCTTCCCCACCTCCGTGGCAGGCATGTTGCCAGCACCCTCCCCTGCTTGGCTGCTGTCTCCCCTTCTCTACTGGTTTCTCCATTAAGTGAGGGAGAAAAGGTGCACAGTGTCTTTCTCAGGAAGGAATCCCTGGCCGCACCCCACAGACAGGGTAAACTAACAATGTGAGCTGACTTCCTACTCCCCACTGGCCTTGTTTCTAAGGACAGTGAAGCATGTTTGGCTCTTAGATGGAGTTTTGTTAGCCCACCCCAGGGACTGAGGGGTCCCTGATTGCTCAACTGAGGAAAGGAGGGAGGAAAAAAGAAATGGAGGGGCAACAGGAGGAATAAATACTTCAGTAAAGGGCTTTTTAGTACTCAGAACATGTAACTTTATAGATTGGGCTACACTTTCGAGACAATGAGAGAGCCTCTGTTTTCCTTTTCCTTTTTTAGTGAGGTCTGGTGGAAGGAACACAGAGTTTAATCCTTGTTTTTCCGGCAGCCCAACTGTGGCACCTTAGGTAAATGGCCATGGTTTCTCAGTAAAGAAAATGTGGCTAACTGAACCTTCCCCAGTCTCATAACCTAGGGTATTTATAGTGAGACAGTGAAGAGAAAGTGTTTTCGGTGAGTCTGTCCAGGATGCTGCAGCCCCAAGCCCTCGGAGCCCAGTGCCTACTCGCCTGTGTGGTGGAGGCAGCAGGCTGCAGGTAGTCACTGGGACTGACAGCAGCAGTGGCAGCCATGCTGGTCTGTGGATCTGTTGGAAGAAAAGAGATGGAGTAATGTATAAGATGCCCAAAAAGAACGCAAGCCCACTTGCCTCAGATTTTCTTTCTTTTCTTTGAGACGGAGTTTTTGCTCTTGTTGTCCAGGCTGGAGCGCAGTGGTGTGATCTCGGCTCATGGCAACCTCCCCCTTCTAGATTCAAGCAATTCTCCTGCTTCAGCCTTCTGAGTAGCTGGGATTACAGGCGCCACCACCATGCCCAGCTAATTTTTGTATTTTCAGTAGAGATGGGGTTTCACGATGTTGTCCAGGCTGGTCTCGAACTCCTGACTTCAGGTGATTCACCTGCCTCGGCTTCCCAAAGTGCTGGGATTACAGGCAGGAACCACCACGCCTAGCCATATTTTCTTTTTGCCTCTATTTGTTGCTGCTTCTCCAAGGGAAGTTAAAGACTTTTCCCCAGACTTCCCCACCCTGGGTTGACAGCCTTACATCTATTTCAGTAGATTACTTTCTCCTCTCCTCAGACTCAGCCATCTGAGGCTGTGAGGACAGCTGGTCCTGCTGTCATTGGACTGCCCCCTCCAGCCACCACAGAGTCTGAGATAACACAAAAATAACCAAGACTATACCAGGACTCTCTTCTGTAACTCAGCTATGCCCTCTCTGATGGGCACTGCTGGCTCTCCATAGCTAAACTGGAACTCCTCTATGGTGGGCAAGGGGAGCTCCCCAGCTAATCCTCTAGCTCAAACTCAAGCCTCCTGTTCACTCCTGCTGTAGACAGATGCCAAAACTGAGAGGGAAGTATCGCTCAGTCAGTTTTTCGGACAAGGAGGACACACCTGCTCCATTCCCAAATCTTGGGTGTTTTATGCTCAGCCTTCACCACAAAGGCTGTTGTCCCCAGGCAGCATATACAGCACATGGGTCAATTCTTTTTTTTTTTTTTTTTGAGGAGGAGTTTCACTCTTGTTGCCCAGGCTGGAGTGCAATGGTGCGATCTTGGCTCACTGTAACCTCCACCTCCCAGGTTCAAGCGATTCTCCTGTCTCAGTCTCCTGAGTAGTTGGGATTACAGGCATATGCCACCATGCCTGGCCAATTTTTGTATTTTTAAGAGAGACAGGGTTTCACCATGTTGGTCAGGCTGTTCTCAAACTCCTGACCTCAGGCGATCCACCTGCCTCGGCCTCCCAAAGTGCTGGGATTACAGGTGTGAACCACTGCGCCCGGCCTCATGGGTCAATTATTTACGTGAATTTACACTTTTTACATAGTACAATAGGCATGGCCCCACAGGCATCAACCAAGACTCGGTAGAGCTAATGACTAACTGGATATAACAAGGAGAATGAAAACAGAGTAAATTCTATTTTTGTTTAAATGTGTATATATTTCTATACATGAATATAACCAAATAGGAAAAAGTCTTAAGCCATTATCTCCTAGTGGTTGAGTTTTGTTTGACTTAAATTTATTTTGCACCTTGTTTTTCTGTACTTTTTCATTTTCCCATGATAAATATATTCTACTGTACTTTTTTTTTTTTTTTTTTTTTTTTT